AATATTTTTACATGTACAGTTACCAAAGGACGAGTGGGCAGCACACTTCGATACATGGCGCCAGAGGTTAGTTAGAGGGTTTTGTTATGTAAATTGTAGGGAAGAGTTAAGGGGAGTGGGTATAAGAGTAATATAGAGGTAGTTAGAGTAGGTGGGTTGGAGTAGTAAAGGGATGAATTATGGGGTGTTTAATAGGCAGTAGGATGATGAGTAAGAGGAGCTGGGCATGATGGCAGTAGTGGAGTAGTAGTAGATGGACTGAGAGGAATGTGATTAGACTAGCTTTGGAATAAAATGATGGAGAGTAGATAGACTGTACCAGGTTTGGTATGGAGTTTTTATTTTTAGGAATAACACTATAATGACAAGAAGAAATATGATAATGATGGGTACATTGAATACCATATTTAAAAGGGACACTATAGTCACCAAAACAACTTTAGCTTAATGAAGCAGTTTTGGTGTATAGATCAGTGGTTCCCAAACTTTTTAGGTTCAAGGCGCCCTTACTATTTCAATATTTTTCCAAGGCTACCCATGTAAAAACAATTTTCTAGGTTGTATATATGTACAGGCATATGCTGGGTCCTAATCTCGGGAGTGGCACTGGTAGGTTATTTAAAGAAACAATCCAGGCACAATAACCACTACATTATGTTGTAGTGGTTATGGTGCCAGTAGTGCCCTCCCAGGGTAAGTAGTCAAACTGTTTAAGAACAATTTGACAACTTACCTGGGGTCTGGTGGGATAGGGGCTGTAGTGTGTGTGTGTGTGTCAGGGGTGCAGTGTGCATGTGTGTGTACAGGGGTGCATTGTGTTTGTGAAGGATGTAGTTTGTATGTGTGTGTGTGTGTGTGTGTGTGTGTGTGGGGTGCAGTGTGTGTGTGTATGTGGGGCAGTTTGTGCATAAAGGGTACAGTGTGTGTGTGTGGAGGTGGTGAAGTGTGTGTGTGAGTGGTACAGTGTGTGTGTGAGGGGGTGCAGGTTGCGTGAGGTGTACAGTGTGTGTGTGAGTGGTACAGTATGTTTGTGAGGGGTACAGTGTGTGTGTATGGGGGGTAATTGTGTGTATGGGGGACAGTGTGTGTATGGGGTGTAATTGTGTGTATGGTGGGGTAGTGTGTGTGTATGGAGGAGCTATTGTGTGGTGTGGGGTCTGTGGGGTTAGGAGGACAAATTAATAAATATATACTTTTTTTTAAAAATAAAAAATAAAAATGATTTCCTCCCCTCCCTGCTTACCTTTGCCTGGAAGGGTACATTTCCTCTGGAGCTGCTAGAGTTCACTCTCGCGAGATTCGGAGCAGTGCCGTGGTAACCACGGCAACGCTCCGAGCTCACAAGAGGATTACCCGGCAGCAGTGGCATACACACAATCCATGGGGCCCTGTGCGAAACTGTTCCGTGAGCACTTGGGTCCAGTGGGGGCTCAGCCTCATGGAAGTCAGAGTTCCCACTCTGACTCCCTTCTCCTTCCTCCCGCACGGCTCTCTGATAGCTGGGAGGAGTGACCGGGGCAGTCACTTCCTCCCAGCGCTGTCTGATGTCATCACAGGGGGCCAGGTCGTGCTGTTAAAGCGCCCAGTGCTGACTGGGCCCCCACGAAATCCATACCCATCAGGGGGCCTTAACAGCCTGGGACCACGTGGTCCCGCCGGTTTGCCACCGGCTTGTAGAGCCGGTAGGGGAGAGCGAGGCACAGAAAATAACTTGCGGCTCCCCTGTGTGCCCGTGCCCGGCACACCGTTTGGGAACCGCTGATATAGATAATTTCCCTGCAGTCTCACTGCTCAATTCTCTGCCATTTAGGAGTTAAATAACTTTGTTTACACAGCCCTTGGCACACCTCCCTGCATGTGACTTACACAGCCTTCCTAAACACCTCCTGTAAGGAGTCATCTAATGTTTACACTTTCTTTATTGTGCATTCTGTTTCATTTAGAATTTCTTACCTTTGTTAATAGCTTGTTAGACGCAGCAAGAGCCTCCTGTATGTAATTAAAGTTCAGTTTACAGAACTGGAGATAGAAACATTTAAAGTAAGCTACATCTCATTGTTTTTTTATGCAGGCTGTGTGAGTCACAGCCAGGGAAGGTGTATCTACTGCTGAATAAACAGAAATTCTCCAAAATGGCAGTGAATAGAGCAGTAAAAATTCAGAGGCATGATCTATACACCAAAACTGCTTCATTAAGCTAAAGTTGTTTTGGTGACTATAGTATCCCTATAATAAAATGACATAGCTTATGTGTTTTGGCAGGTATACAACTGCAAAAAGTATGGCCAATCAGCAGACTTGTGGTCATTTGGCGTAATTCCCTGCCGTATAATAATTGGGCAGTGTCTATTCAATACCAAGCTCAGAAGAATGGAATACAAGGAGGAAGTATTAAACGCTGACCCACGCTATCCCACCTGGCTGGGTATTGATCCTACAGACCTCCTGAACAAGGTAAGGAATAGGCTGTTATAGGAGCAGATACACTGCAAGGTAATAGAAAATGGGCAGGTTAATATGTTAATTGGATGTGGAGATAGGCTTTGTAAAGAAGCCTGAAAGAAGCTACTGGAGGAGATATGTGAGTGTTAGATACTGGTTATATTCATTGGAGTATGTACTAAACATGTTGTAGAACCAACTGTTATTGGTGAAAATGACTTGTTATGTTTCAGTGCTGAGCAGATTCAGATTTCCCCCAGATTTCCTTCATGTCTGTCACCCCCTATTGCACAGGTTTGATAGTGGCACAGACTAGTGGGGCATGTAATAACTAATGCCTGATATTATTTAAATACTGATGTTTAATGGGTTAATAATAATGTTTAATAATGATGGCAGATAAAAACACAGAAATTAAATTGACATATATTACTATCTCTCTGCAACTTATGGACAAATGGAAAAGCTATTTTATATAACCATTGGAATACACACGAGGAAATCTTTATAAAAATATTTATAAAGAATTAGGTTTACTGGACAGCCACAAAAATTGGATTTTTGTTAACGTAACAATCTACAACAAACTTTTTACAAGCACTGTCTCATCTGAGGTTTTCTAGATTCTAGAATCTGGAAGGTTAAATTGACGTCCTTCCGCAGAAGTGATTGCTTTTAGTATGCGTTAAAAGTTGGAACATCACACATCAAAATGTTACAGTTCAGAGATATCACAGAGAAAGTGTAGTGATGTATTATACTCATTGTATCCTTTCTCTTTCTCTTACTAGGTCTTGGATAAGGACCATAATGCACGCGCTGTGGCAAAGCAAAACATTCGGGAGCACCCCTTCTACAGAAACATTAATTGGGAAGATTTAGAGAGGGGTAAAGTGAGCTGTCCGCTCCTGATATTACCTGTAAATGCTCAAATAATCAGTATTTACAAACTAAGGAGGGATTATACACAATCATAATTATACAAAAACAACATAAAAACTGACTCTTTGATCCACCAGTAATCACTTCCCAGATGGGGTTCCATTGATTTTGCCCACTGAGCACTGATTTTAATTTCTCCCCACAATTACTGTGAACGTTATAAACTGCACATTCTTATTTATATGTAAGAAGTAAACGATGCCATATGATGCTAATCTAATTACATCTCACTTCTTATTGCAGACACAGGATCTAGTGACAGGCACCACGGGGAAGTAATTCTCCTTTATGTTAAAAAAAACCCAAACCTTTTCATTTGATGATTATATCATCCACGGCCTGGGATGTGATCCCTGAATGTCAGGAATGAAAGAATAGTAGAGAAGTCCAGCAAGGAAAATGGAGGTTGCCTCATCTTGCTCATACTATAGGATATCAGATATCAAAAAGAGCATGTTCTCTTACTGGATGTGTGTCAGTTTGTATCTTTCATTGTGTGTATATGTATGTATATCTGCATGTGTGTGTGTGTATGTGTGAGGCATTGTATATGTATATGTGCATACATCTCAGAACTCAAACGTCAACACTACATACAAACAGGCCACTCTATTCAAAGACAAACACTACACACAAGTAAACCACTGCTTTCAAATGGCAACAGTACATAAAAACATACAACACTACATACAAATACACCCCTAAATTCACACACACATACTCCCTGCAAAAATATGCTTACATTCAAACACACAAACACTGCTGAGTGGTAAATACAACCTTGGCCATCCTTATGATTGGGGAGGAGAAGGAGGTGGGAAGAAATTTCTGTCACCAGGGCCCTCTCTATGTAAGTTTCACAGACAAGATTGCATGTGGCCACTGTGCCACCTACTGGTATATTGTAAATAAATAAATAAATACAAATATGTTTTGTGAATGTTTTGTTTTGCACATATAGTTATGGCTACACATTCTTCATTACACATCTGTAAAGTCATGGTAACATATGTTCATCATAAATGGCTACATTCATAACTTTACTGATTCATAACTTTTACTACTTTTGCTAAGAATCTTTTCTTTCTACAGTTTTGAAGGTTAGAAAATTTTTTGGTAATTCTTTCCATTTTAGTATGCAGGCTAGATGTCAGGTGCTATTTAATACACCTTTGGGACATGCATTACTATTTCCATTTGGGTGTGTTTAAATAAGCCCCTCCCTCTTGCACATGGCTTTATAAGTCTGCTCAATTTATATGCCCTGGCCCTTTTCCACTATTTATTGCTATTCACTAATTAGTGAATTGTAATTGTGCCTACAGTGTCCATTAAAAAAACAACAACCACACATTGATATACTGCTATGTCCCTTACAGAAAACAATAGGTTTACTACACACCTGTCACCTATTGGCATCAGCGATGCAATTGGTTGTCCATAATCTTATACTTGTGATGCAATTGAAAATCCCTTTTTTGTCAATGTTGAAATATATGTGATGAAATCATGGTTTTAGGCCTGGTTTTAAGATAGTAATGTTTTCTGACTTTGACTGCATTACAAAGAAAGTTTTTATGAAATTTGGACTGTGACAACTTTTGACATTTGTCTCATACTGGCTGAAAGTTTTAAAACGTTATCAATCGGTTACCAATGCTAGATTGTAATGTTGCATTGTGAAATATAGGTTTTGTTGAAATGTAGCGGCACTGTAGCCAGCTCTAAAGGGGTGCATGAGCCTGTCACCTAGTGCAAGACTCTATGTATTGAATTCTAGAACTGCTACCTTGCTACAATGCTTCAGAACAGTGCCAGCCAGTGGGCATTCAATTTCATAAAAAAAAAAAGCTATTCAAACTTAAATTAGCTCATTCGTCCGAATAACAAATCACTGAATGGCACAATGAAAGAATAAAGGAGATGAACTAAATTCTTCAATGTCGGTTTACTATATTTAAGAGTACCACTACCAAATTAGGGAGCATTTGTGTTTAGTAGATATAACACTCTTATTTGGTACCGTTAAATATGGCAATCCCACATAAGGGTTGCAAATTAGGGTGCTATCTGCTGAAAAGCTCCCTAATTTGGTACTCTTAAATATGGCAGTCTCACATAAGGGTACTAATTTTGAGAGCTATCTACCATGCAACTCCCTCATATGGTATCTTTATGGCAATCTCACATAAGGGTACCAAATTGGGGAAACTATCTACGAAACAGTTCCCTAATTTGGTCTATTAAACACAGCTCCCTCCCTAATTTGGTACCATTAAATATGCAATCCCACATAAGGGAACCAAATTTGGGATTTAACTAAACCACTAAAAGTTTTGCTGGCAATCATGTCATACCGTTTGTCCGAATGGAAAAAAGGAAACAACAATGGACAAATTTCGGGGGCGTGGCCTAACCTCGGAGCGGGCTAGACGTGGCGGGGTGAAGCTCTGCTCCGACGACGCTGTTAAATAGCTTCTTACAGCACTTTTTCGGAAGCTGAACACCCTCCTAGGATGGAGAAACGAAACCCCAAGAAGAGCTCCAAAAAAGGTATGGAGTCTGCAGCCTCGGTCCTCGACCTGATGCTGGGAAGCAAGGGGGGCCCTGCAGAGGCACAAAATGGCGCCGGGGAAGGCCGCACTCCTTCCCGGACCCCGCCGCGCAGTGGAGAGGAAGTGGAACCGACCCAGGGAGATACAGCAACCATATTAGCAAAGCTGGCAGAATTAAAAGTATATCTAGCTGGGGAAATAGAGCGGTCCACGACAGTCCTGCAGACAGAGCTGCAGGCGCTTGGCGCCAGAACGGGACAGCTAGAGGAGCGGATGGAGGAGACTGTGCGAGCGCATAATGATGTAGTGACACAAGTAAACACTCTCACCACGCGCCTATATGAAGTGGATTTGGCGCTGGAGGATGCAGCAAACAGATCCCGGCGCAATAATCTGCGTGTCAGGGGGCTACCTGAAAGAGAGGGAGAGGGACCCCTGGCAGATCTCCTCCTCACCATCTTTAAGCCAATCCTACCAGAGATCCCAGACAGCCAGTGGCAGCTTGAGAGGGCGCACCGGGCACTAAGGACCAGGCGCCCCGACGGAAACGCGCCCAGAGACATCATTGTCCGCTTTCTGCACTATACCACCAAAGAAGCCCTGCTGCGCAAAAGTAGAGATACGGAGATTAAATATGGAGGAGCCACCATTGCCCTATATCAGGATCTGGCGCCCAGCACACTCCAGCGCCGGCGGGAGTGGAAGCCTATTACGGAGGCCCTACGTTGGGCTAGCATACGCTATGCATGGGGCTTCCCCTTCCGTCTCATGGCGTTTAAGGATGGCCGGGTGCATGTGCTACTGCCAGGGGGAGACCCTAGGCGTCTCTTTGCTGATTTGGGACTGGCACCCCCTTTGAAAATCCAGACGGTGCCGATGCCCATGGAAGAGCTGCAGCACCTGCCAAGTGAGTGGCGGACAGCAGGAACTGGAGGCCACTGAGGACAGAACAGGATGCCGTATACCAGGAGACCACCACTCACATGCGGTAGACATGCTGGACGATATGTTGAAGCCGGGTACCGGGCATGGGACAGGTGGGAGGAGGCTAAGGGGGAGGGTATGCACCTGCTGGAGGGCTTAGGCATTAGGTGGGGAGGGCTAAGGGGAAGGGAGGTCTGGGATTTAAGTCCCCGAGGAGGGAACGCTACCCTGGACTGTGCAAATCCACTGGACTGAGGGGAGGAGGACGCTCGGAGTACACAGAGCAGAGGGACAAGAGGGGCACCCCAGTTATGGGGGGCAGAGAGTATGGGGGCTCCCGGGGTAGAGGGAGACCCTGAGGTGAGATGGCAAGGGGTAACACAAGGCCCCGGTGGATGGAGACAGGGGGGGAAGCGCGGCCCAGGTGTCCCTCATGCCCAGGGAGGCAGTGAGCTATCAATCTCCCCGCGGGGAGCGGAGGAGTGAGGAGTGAACCGGGAGAGGTGGGCCTCCCACATGGCAGCTGGGGGACAAGGGGGGAGGTCCCGAGGGCATAGGGCCCAGGGAAGCGGTTGGACTTAGCCACCTGTGGGGAGCTGGGAGTCTGGAGGTACCAGCCCGGGGAGACAGATCAGGGGAGGGGCAGAGGGGACTGCTTAAGGGACTTTAGGATGGTGGAGACGATGAGTTCGACATGGACGGCCCACAGGCCCTAGGGGAAAACACCCGAGGGGAGTAGCACAGGAATCCAGGAGGCTGGGGGCTGAGCGGAGGCAGAGGGGGGACGAGGACAGGTGGTACTTAAAACATGCAGAGGATGGGTAGCGCTCCCGACTAGGGGCAGACCCAGGTAAGGCTATCACCTTGGGGGCAGGGGCTTCACTAACAGTTCTCGGGAAGAGAGGGAGAAGTATCTAGGCCTTAGAGGGGGAATCTCCAGTCAGGTGGGACGGTATATAGGGGACTAGAGGAGACCCTGGAATTAGCCTCCCCCGGTATTGGTTAGTTTGCAAAGGGAGCCTAGAGTGTGAGGGTGGGAAGGGTATGCGATATCCAGGGCTCGGGGTAGGCCTGAGAGAGAGGAAGTTAGAGCAGATAGGTGAAGATAAATATCTGGGGTTATAGTTGTTAATAGAGATTGGGTATTATCGGGATAGGGTGTTACACAAATCGATCACACTAGTAATTTCCAATAGCGTTACAGCGTTAAACGGATTTAGGTACTTGGACCCACGACGCTCGCGGATGCAGTGCGTGGGTGACCACAGGGGTCGTACTCCCCAATCACACCTGGCGATTAGTAAGACCAGGAATTTTGTTGTGAGCCTATCAGTGCGAGACATGAGCATGTTACCTAATTCTTCCTTTTTCGTTTTCTCTCTTTTTCTCTCTACATCTTCGGGGCGAGGGCACTGGGGGAGGGGTGGGGGAGGGGTGCCCGGGGAACAGGGGGGGTCTGCTTCCATAGCATGGGTCTTGGAAGGTTATCATGACGGTTAAACTTACTTCGCTGAATGTGAGGGGCCTTAACGCCCCGACCAAACGGCGACTGCTCTTTAGAGAGCTGAAGAGAACGAAAGCTGATATTGCTTTTATTCAGGAGACCCATCTCCCCAAACTGGGACGCTTCCCTCTGAGAGATCATACCTATTCGGCCTCGTATGAGGCCAGATCTCACCGGAAGCGCAATGGGGTGGCCATCCTAGTGCGCAGTAGCTGCCCACTGCAGGTTACTGGGACGGAGGCAGACGGAGAGGGACGCTATATCATTGTGTCAGAAGTGCTTTACTCCCATACCATCCACTTGGTGAACGTATACGCTCCCAACTGTCCAGACCCGGACTTCTGGACCACTTTAGGAGATAAGCTCCAGAAGCTACCAAAGGGCATGATTATGGTAGGAGGGGATTTTAATGCAACACCGAGCCCGGCAGTAGACAGAAGTACCCACAAAGGTGTGCCCCGGTCGCAGGGCAGGGGGAGACAAGATAAACTGCTACAGGAGTTTATCACAGGTTCAGGTTTAGTGGATATTTGGAGGGCCCATCACCCGAGTGCGGTTGACTATACTTATTACTCGGCCCCACATGGCACCTATTCCCGAATCGACTTCTTTTTAGTCAATGGTAGTTGTCTCGCCCGGACCACAGACTCGACGATAGGGACCATTACGTGGTCTGATCATGCTGAGGTTACAATAACCCTTGGGAATCTATGTGCAGCGACCCCCTGGACGTGGAGGCTTAATACCTCATTGCTGCGGGACCCCACAATTACAGAACAACTACATAATGAGATAGTGGAGTTCTTTAAGGTTAATGACACACCTGACGTTAGTGT